AGACCTGGTTAAAGCTGATGGGAGTACTAACCTGTAGGGCTTGTTTACACTTGAAAGTTAATTCAGATTAATGTAGGGAGTGACACACACACACACACACACACACACACAACTACCTGTTCCTGAATGACTCCAGTCTTTAAGGGCTGGTCTACACTGGGGGTGGGGGGGGGAAATCGATCCAAGATACGCAACTTCAGCTACGTGAAGTCGAAGTATCTTGGATCGAACTACCTGGGGTCCAGACGGCACGGGATCGACAGCCGTGGCTCCCCTGTCGACTGCGCTACCGCTGCTTGCTCTGGTGGAGTTCCGGAGTCGACGGTGAGCGCGTTCGGGGATCGATATATTGCATCTTAACGAGACGCGATATATCGATCCTGGATAAATCGATTGCTACCCGCTGATACGGCGGGTAGTGAAGATGTACCCTTATTTTGGCATAAATGTTCACAGTTGAAATTATTCTGGGAACAACTGTTCCTGAATAGTTCCAGGTATAGACAAGCCCTAATTTTCTTCAAAAATTGTGTTTTTGTTTGAGGTAGAAAACTATAGGGATATATTTTCAACCCATCTTCTATTTTTCTAGACACAATTTGCTGTCACAAAAAAGTCAATGGCAGTGGGAGCTGATGGGTGCTCATCACTGTTGAAGACCAGGCCACTCAGGCTATGTCTACACTCAGGGCGACTCCAGGCACCAGCTTAACAAGCAGGTGCTTAGGGCGGCCAAGGGAGAGGAGCAGCATCTGCAGCAATTCGGGGGCGGCAGGTCCCTCACTCCCTGTCGGAGCGAAGGACCTGCCGCTGAACTGCCGCCGCCAATCGCAGCTTTTTTTTTTTTTTGTTGCTTGGGGCGGCAGATATGCTGGAGCCGGCCCTGCCTACGCTACAATGCCACAGCAGCAAAGCTGCAGCTCTGCTGTTGTAGTGCTTCAGTGTAGATGCACTGCAGTGACGGGAAGTTTTCTCCCATCACTGTAGTTAATCCACCATCCAGAGATGCAGAAGCTTGGTCAGTGCAAGAATTCTTCCATTGATTTTGCTCTGCATATACTGGGGATTAGGTCAGCGTAATTACATCGCTCAGGAGTGTGGATTTTTCACACCCCTGATGGACATAGCTGGATCGACTTACCTTTTTAATGGCCTTAGTTAGCCACCTAAGTAAGTATGTAGGATCCTAGCATTTTAGGCATCCATTTAAAAAAAAAAATCTTGGTCTCCGTGTTTGGAGGATTTAGTATAGCTCACTATTATGTTTCCACTCAGCAAATTAAAAAAAAAAAACTGGATGAATTTCCAGTCTGAATAAACAGCTGCATTTCTTCTTTATTATAGCAGAGCTAAGCAAAATACCAGAAGGCACCAGGTAATTTAATAAGGCAATTGCATGTAAGACTCGAGCTAATTCTACCATAGATATATGAATGATGCTATTGTGTTATACTGCTGCTTTGCTAAGAAAGGATCCTTTAAAAGACCATGGAATTTACTGAAACAATCTTAAAACACAAAGATTATTATGATTTGATTTACAGAATTTATTATATTTTTCCACACAAACGTGGCTAATTCCTAAAAGCAAATAAGCAAAATTCATCCTTTTTGGAATGAGCATCCTCCTCACCTTCGAGGAGGGGTTTTACTTAGTTCATTGAGCCACAAATGTTGCATTATCACTCTAATTTTTGGAATTTTGGACAAATTCCATAGTTTTTGGGTTTTTTTGGTAGTTCTTTTAAGAACAGAGGAAGTAAAAGAGGTGAGTTCTGGATTTAACCTCCACACTTATCTTGACAGTGGATATTAGTGAAAAGATAATTCACAGATACATTCTGTAAAACACGAAACCCTCAACTTAAGTTTTTTTGCAATTGGAATTTAAAAAAAAAAAAAGCAAAAAGAAAATCCAAAAGGACTAACCTGGTTGAGTCAGAGAAAAATGACAGACATAGAAACATTAAAAGCTGTCAGGCCGGACATTGTGCTGTTGTGTCGCTCCTAAACCTCTTATTAACACCCATGTCCCTTACTTATAGTGGATTAAAGGCAGCAAATGTTTGTGAATGTCAGGGTTGGAAATAACGGATGCAATCTTTACAGATGAACAAGTTTTTGAGAACTTGTGGCACCTTAGGGACTAACAAATTTATTAGAGCATACATTTATTTATAAAATTTATTTGCGGATACAGACTAACACGGCTGCTACTCTGAAAGTTTTTGAGAGAGCCTCATGAGTGATCAGATTCACTTTCAGGGTATTGTAACACGGTCTCTAGCAGGATCTCCAGCTGCTACATCACAGAGTAACTACTGCAGCTTAGTCACATTTCCACAGATTGAACATTTTATATAATATAGATAAAGGGCAAGGAGGCTGACTTTGATTTGACACCAGTGTGATTGGATTGATTTTCAATTGACGTACTCCTAATTTACACAGGTGTTGGTGAGAAGAGAATCAGTCTTGATACTTCTGTCCAATCATATTCAGATAAACTCCCCACATGAAAAGGAGATAAACTCTTATATGCCTATGACTTCTTTAAGACAACTTTATACCATCTCTCTTTGTGTATCTGTATAGTATCTTTACTAAGATAACAGACTTTGATTCTTCAGTATGGAAAAACCAGACATTAGTAGCACAGGCCTCATCGTTTCAAGGTGTGGGACAGAAAATGGCCTTGTTATTTTGCTTGCTGTCTACTAGCGAATACACATGCTTTCTCTGACTAGGATCTAACTTTAGTACCTTAGCCCAAAGAAAATAAATACCAATCAATTGGAAAAATAAGTTGTATTTCACTGGAAACTCATTGTGGAAACTTCTGAACATGAAAACAGTAATATGTACTACATGCAGTATATGCCTAAGGTTTACAAGAGATATAAAAGAACAACAGAAACCATCAACTAAGACTATCAGCTAAAAGATTGATTGCTATTGGCATTCCAGGTTTATCCATGTCTGTATTTAACAGGATGAGTTGACATACTATAAAGATGAAGTGTGAAATGATTTATGTGCTACCAAGTGTATAGTCCTAAAATCATAAACACAGTATTGACAACTCCAAATATTCAGAAATCATGAGGTAAGCCCCTGAAAATCATGAGATATTTTAAAAATAATACATTCTGTGGGCACACTACTAGGAATGCGAAGCTTCAGCTAACACAGTGGAGTAACTAGCTGCTTTATTAAAGTGCCAGTTTAGTTTTATAAGAAAGGTGTCCATGCATATTATTGCCCAGCAAATTGTACATGAAACTGCCATGTTACCACTCACAGAGAGGCTGTAGGTGTAGGCAAAGCAGCACCCATTTCTAACATGACACGAGAGAGAGTACCGCTCTCTAGCTGGAACTGGGACCCCCTGTTGCAAGTCTGGCTTTCTACCTGCTGTTAAACCCTATTGCTCTGTCCCTTTGGACTAGGACACTTTCAGGTTGAATAAGGCTCGGGTTTTAGATGTTTGTCAAAAAAATAAATAAATGAAACAAACCAATGCTAGGTTTTGCCAAAGATGAAGGGAAATGTTTTCCTTTTAATTCCATACAAAACACTAAGTTAAACATTGGGGGTTCAAAGTGAAACATCCAAATTTCAGGAAATGCCAAAGTAAAGGTAATCCTCACAAACTGAACTCTTCTGCCTTGTGCATACAAATTACAATGCAGTCCATTAACATGTTTGGATGCTATTATTTCTGTGCCCTTTCCCACACCAGCCTCATCCAGCATGTAGCCCGTGAATGAGGAAGGAGGAGCAACCTAGCAAAAGATTTTATTTCTTTCATAAAATTAAATGAAAGGCTAAGTTTTAAAATTAAATTATTAAATTCAGTTATATGTAAATATATTTTGTATTAATAACTATACCCTTACTGTACACTGAATGAGGCAGAAAGCTTGCAGAAGTCATATTTGACCACGTAGTTAAAGAGTGTATTTGTGCAAATTGAAAATATGTAGCAGAAGAGTAATGAAAGGATCAATCACTCGGGGTTTTCTGGAAGACATGCCTTTAAAAAATGCAATACTGCACAACGAGAGTTTTTAAAAATAGGCAATTCTTGTTAGGTGAGAGAATCACTATCTGTATTCCCATGAGGACTAGTAACGAGCAACATGGCTTTGGGAACATCAGCCTCACAAGAAACCCAGATCTTCTCCGCTACCGGAGATGCATGCTAAACACAACAACTTGTAGGCAGATCTGACCTATTTAAATAGTAATTTTGAGAAACTGGTCTCAGAAATACATAGTTTTGTGGATGAGGAGATTGTACAGAAGACATGCACACTTTACACGTAATTACACATTGCAAGCCCACAGTAACATATCAGACATGGAAATATATCCACTAGAAAGTCTAAGAGAACATGCATCTGAATTATTGGGCTGAATTTCAAGAGACCCAAATTTGAGTTTAGAGAAATACCTTAGTTTATCTGAAGTTACTGACACAAGGGGAAAAGACAGTCACTTTCTTTGAACAACAGATCTCATCATTATTAGATTGAGGCGGGCCCCATGGAGTTCACTCCTAGAAATGTGATTGCAAGAATCTCGAGGATAAAGACTGGATTTGACCAACAGCAGGTTAAAAACAAAACAAAATGTTTCTTCCTAAAGTTCTATTTACCTCAGAATTAGGACAGTATTCAGGCAAGTAACATACTCTTGTTCTCCTGAACTAGGCCTTCAAAACTGACAGAGATGCCAGTTTGCTTTTCCAGCAGTTACATGTGTTGCCTGAAGATAAAGCAGATTAGTGGGGTCTGTAGTGATTTTGTTATTGTTCCATGGCATTTTTTCCAAGTTAATGTGGACTATAAATAGTTTTTGTTAGGCATGAAAGAGGAAGGCAAAAATACCTCATAAGCAGGAAGTATTGTATACAGGACAACCCCATATATCATGGGGCTGGAGGGTGTGTGTGAATTATTTTCTGATCTCAACTTGTGATTGTTTTATGCATGAAGCTTGCTTGAACTTACTCCTGCAGCTGAAGCACATTCAAGCCCGTCAAGCAGTTTAACAGGAAAAACCACTGAGCCTGAAACTTCTGAGATGGTGTCCTGGAATAGAACATGTGGGTAGGTCCTTGCAACCTAGTGAACAAAGAAAGGTGGTGTAAATTCCTCTGCAATGTGCTTTGATTTATTTATTATTTTTTTTTGCAGTTTGTTGCAATGTTTTTTTCCTCTAGCTATTGTTTTTAGCAACAGACATCAACAGACGCTATAGGAGAGAGTCTGTTATTTACCACTGGTAATCTCTGCAAATAATATTTATTAGGCCAGGATTTCTATGCTCTCCCCCCGCACCCTCCATTTATATAGCATGCTTTTGGTTTGGTTTTTAAACTATATCTGAGTCAATGTTGTTTGTGAAAGGCTTACTAGGCCTTGCCAGCAGTTCTCGCATGATGCTCTGCCAGTGCTTCTTGAACCTGAGCTATGGTACTTATAACGTATTTATTCTCATAGCACAAAGCGCCATAAAGTAACATCACAATGAACAGTAAACACAACACACATCGGTCAGCAATCTTCCTCCATGTTTCATGGTCTTCACACAACCTTCAGAAGTGGGCCATAATGCATCCCATCCAGTCAGTCACATCATCAAACCAGACTCAACACAGGTGCCCTCTGCCCTTGGCATCAGTGCCTCCAAAAACTTGCTTTGGCAATCTTCCTTAGATTTATATACTGTCCCTATCATCATGTCTGACCCAGCATGTCCCCTTGCAGGTGGGAATGGTGTTGCAAATGAGCCCTTCCTTGATTTTTCCCCACGCCCAGGGTATTAGCAAGTCCAAAAAGACTGTTAGATGCTGAAGAGCACCTCCTTGTGGAGGGTCTCTTTTATTAACACAAAAGCCAACACAGAACATAAACAAAACTTTTACCCGAAATCTCAGTTGGGTGACTAGGTTGTTCTTAGTCCATCTATCACCCACCTGAGTCCAGTGCTCATTTCTACCCCGCTCTTCCCCCAGGGTTTTTTTCAGTTCCAGCCTCTGCGCCTCTTGCCCCTACTGAAGTAGAATCCTTCTCTGGAGTCAGGAGTTCAGGGAGGTCTGTCTACTGCGACTGTTCTCCAGGGCAGCAGGTGATACCTGCCAGGCTGGGCTTCTGTCCAGTGTCTGTGAGACCCCTGGCTCAGACCAGGCCCCCTTGGATGCCTGCTGACTGCAGCCCTCCATCTAGGAGGCTCCTTTCTCTAGGGGCCCCTCTTAAGGCACCCCACTCTGGTGGGTTCCTAAGAGACCTCACCCTCTAGGCCAGGAGAGGGAAAACTACGGCCCGCGGGCTGGATCCGGCCCATCAGGGCTTTCAATCCAGCCCGCGGGATTGTCAGCCCCATGGGGCAATGGGGCTAAGGCAGGCTCCCTGCCTGCCCTGGCTCCGTGCTGCTCCCGGAAGCAGCCAGCACCACGTCCCTGCGGCCCCTGGGGAAAGAGGGGGCAGAGGTCTCCGTGTGCTGCCCTCGCCTGCAGACACCGCCTCCCGCAGCTCCCATTGGCCAGGAATGGGGAACGATGGCCAATGGGAGCTTCGGGGGTGGTACCCACAGGTGAGGGCAGCATGCAGCAAAGCCGCCTGCCCCACCACACCCCCAGGAGCCACTGCCGGACATGCTGGCCACTTCTGGGAGTGGCGCGGGGCCAGGGCAGGCAGGGAGCCTGCCTTAGCCCTGCTGCGTGCCGCTGCCACCCCAGAGCTGCTCGAGGTAAGCGGCTCCAGGCCAGAGCCAGCACCCCAAACTCCTCCTGCACCCTGCAACCAAACCTCCTGTCTTGAGACCCCTAACCCCCTGCCTTGAGACCCCTGCTGCACCCCTCTTGCACCCCAACTCCCTGCCCTTAGCTCCGTGCCACACCTCGCCCCCCTCCTGCACCCCGCACACCTGCCCTGAGCCCCATCCTGCACCCTGCACCCCTCCTACACCCCAACCCCTTGCCCTGAGCCCCTTCCTGCATACCGCACCCTCTCCCACACCCCGCACTCCATTCCACACCCCAACCCCTTGCCCCAGCCCTACATTCATGGACCTGCATACAATTTCCCCACTCATATGTGGCCCTTGGGCCAAAAAGTTTGACCATCCCTGCTGTAGGCTCCCTGCTCAGCCCTCTGGCTCAAGCCTTTCCTGGGAGAATCTCTCCACAGAAGATATAAGTATCTTCTGCTTTTGGAGTGTTCCCATCTAACTGAACTTGGATAACATTTATTAGGTCTAGGTGCTCAATTACTAATCCGTCACGTAGGACAGTTAGGGTCTTCATCCGGCAGTCATGGGCAGACTGGGCTCAAACTGCCAGTAAAGGGCAACTGCCCCATGACCATCCCGCCATACAGGTAGATTCGAAAACTCTTTGGTGACTGTCCAGACAATGGGATAAATCTCGAAGTCCTTATTCAGTTTTTATTCCTATCTAACTCAGGCAAAACAATGGGGACTATATGGTGGCAGGACCCAATCCCGCACTGCGCGCAGTGTGAAAGTGCAACACACCTTCAAGGGGAGTTCTTGAAAGTATTGTTCCTTAGGAAGGCAGAATACACACTAGAACTTCCAGAGAACACAGCAACTGCACTTTCCTTACAAAGGTAAGGACTTGAGATTTGGTTCTATCTTCCTTCTACTCTCACTGAAGTTCCCTCAGCTAGACAGCAGCTGGTGACAGAAAGAGAAGGATTCCACAGAAGGATTCCTGAATTTACAGGGTTAATTTAGGTAGTCAGAAATGTAATTATCCAAGTTGGAATTCATCCAGTACACCAGTCTAACCCTCTTCTTTCCAAAAGTACCATGCACACTTTAATTACCAGAGGAGACCAAGGTCTCAGCTTTATTGCATCTGAAAAATAACCTGGCCTATAGCCCAAAGGCCCTAACACTGTACTAAGGCACTTATTCAGTACTGACTCAGATGGAAGACTGCCACCTACTGAATTGCCAACACGGCCATTTCCTACAGGGGTCTCCCGTCTAAATGCTAACCCAACCTAACCCTGCCCAGATTATGCAATCTGATTAGAACACAGCTTCAGGTGTTTTGACTGAGAGCTTAGTACAATGAAATACCTGAAAGCTAAGTATAATGAAATACCCTGCTCCTACGTGCATTTGTACACTACCTGTGCTAATGAGACAGAAGGGGGAAAGAACCTAATGATTTAGAGGAGAACTTGATATTAGCAAACCTCATCTTTTTTGTACCATCAGCATCCTATGTACTTTGCCCAACCCAAAATGCTCTAGTTCTTGCTGTATTTCAACATCCAGCAAGTCTTATCTGACCCTTGGTGTGTCCCAGCCAGCCTGACAGCCCCATAGCACATCAGCACCAAGATGACTTGGTACAAATGCAAGAGTGCTAGAAGGAACAGACTTGTACTGTTTCCCATTGGCCTCCACTGTAATAAACTGTGTGTTTTTGTGTGTGAATGAATTTAATGCTTCATAATCTCAACCAAGTGGAAATACCAAATAGCTATTCTTATGGTAACAACCAGGAAGTATTAGAGATCTGACAGGAACTTCTTCTTTTCAGACTTCCAATCTAATCTCTCTAGTCCAAAGAGATTTGGTTTATTTTTGAATAAGAATCTGAGTACTTACTTACATTTTACCTCTGAATCTTCTGTAGTTCTTACATCCCTGCTTTGAATATTGGTTACTTCTAGATGACATTGCTATATACAAGTGCTCTGGGCAGTGAATGGAGGGAAGGACAGTTTTGTGGTTAAAGCACAAGACTGAGGCCTGGTCTACAACTAAAACTTAGGTCAATATAGCTAAAATCCATACTCCTGAGTGCTATAGCTATGTCAACCTAACCCCCAGTGTAGATACAGCTAGGTTGACAGAAGGATGCTTCCTTGACCTAGCTACTGTTGCTTATGGAGGGGGAGTTCCTATAATGACAGAAAAACCTCTTCCATTGATGTAGTCTGCATCTATGCTGCGTGGTTACAGTGACAGAGCTATAACACCATAGCTATGCCGCTGTAGCACCCATAGAGTAGACATGGCCTGACTAGAGTCTGGAGATTTGGATTTTATTCCCAGCTCTACCAGCCATTTTCTATGACATTTTCCAAGTCATTTAGAGCAGTGTTTCTCAAACTAGGGCCGACGCTTGTTCAGGGAAAGCCCCTGGCGGGCCGGGCCAGTTTGTTTACCTGCCGTGTCTGCCATCTGTTAAATGGGGATAGTTAGCACTCTTGCATAACATATAGGTGCTGTGATCATTAGGGCCTAGATTTTCAAAAGAGATCTTGAATATATTTTCAAGTGCTCAGCACCCATAATAGGAGTGAATTTTTCAAGAGTTTGCCATTCCGCATGCTGCAGTCATTTTAAAAATCTGGCCTTGTTTGTTCATGCTAAATTCTTTTGAAAATCTGGCCTTCATTGTTTGTGTAGTGTACAGATAGTATGGTGATGAGTGCTGGTAAATAAAATAATGAATAACTGAATCTGATAGCTTCCCATATCCTTTAACAACAAAGCAAGTAATAGGGCGTTGGAGTATCAACTTGGTGTCAAAAAGGTTTAAATCCTTTTTCCTGCAGAAATAGAATAGCCCCCTTTATACATACTACTTTGGTGCTTTGGCTTTCCATTTTCACATGTGAGAGATACTAGAGAATGAATTTTCACAAGTAGCATCCAACTGGCTAAGTTTATGGAATTAACTTCAAACTTTTCAAATATCTTGGAAAGGGACTTGAAACACCATCGTATTTTACTAGTTGAATCCCCTGCATTGTCTGAATCATCCGGAGTCCTGTAATGATTGACAGTTCTTTATCAGAATGTCAAACTCACTCTGACTTCAAACCAGTAATTATACAAGGACGGAGTCCTAGTAGTTCAAGGATGAGTCCTGATACCACTCAGGCCAAGTGAAATTAGTCACCCTCTCGCATCCCCTTATTCAGGCATCTACATTTTGACATTGCTCCAATCTTTTGCTGTTACTGATACAATGAGATTTTTGTCAAGCAACTGTTAGAGTTGAAAATCAGAGGCACAAAGCCAAATACAACTGAATGAAGTTTAATTAAACTGGAATAAGTAACAAACTTCTGACTGCAAGAAAAACATCTTATATTTCAATTTATGATGAGGAGGCCTATTTTTGCCAACTAAAAGCATGAACTCAAATTTCAAGAGAATATTTGGAAGAATTCCTGTGCCCTAAAAATGTAGAACATAGTTCAGCTGTCTTTCACTGTCCTGCCCCCCCCCCCAAAGATTTAATCCCTCAAACTAAAACCATTTTCTTTCTATCTCATCCTAGCTAAGATGGCAAAATGTAAGGCTTTTGCTAAGCCAAATCATTTGAATTTAACAAACTACCATTTAATTACTTGATGCCACCTTATTGCTTTCCCCAAACTTTAGTAATTGTCCTAAAAATAAAAAATGTGATCATAATTACAAACCTGCAAATCAGTTGATTGCACATACGGACTGAAATTTAGATCAGAGAACTTTCTCCCATTAAGTTCTGTTACAACTTCTGGTTCCAGTCATGACTGGAAACCAAAGTGGGAGAATATGTAGGTCAAGCCCCCTACACTAAAATGAATCTCTCACCCCCCCCCCCACCACCACAGTCCTGCCAAAATTGAAACATGAGCATAATTTTATACACAGAGGTCTTCCCGTTGACTCCAATGGGAGTATTCACATGCATAGTTACAAACATGCTTAAGTCTTTACAGAACTGGGCACCTGGCCACCACTGTCTCATAACTGGTAGCTGACCTTCCTCCAAAAGCAGGAGGAATAGTGGGGGTTGAGACTGGGATTAGAAAAAAGGGGGGGTTAAGGAGATTACAGTGTAATACTAATGACCTGAGGTACTTCCTATTAACTTGGTTAAGTACAGCATATCCTGAGTTAATTGACTTGTAAACAGGAAGTTCCTTCAAGTTATCTAATTATTTTACTGTTTTACTTCTAGCTGTACCTACTATGCAGTGTGATAGGGATAATAAATAGAACTACAGTTTAACTTGGCAAGGATGCAGTCCAGTTGTGGACTTAATCACTGTGGATGCATCAACCATGTTGGCTTATTTGCTTGTAAAACTCAATGCTATGCATTAGTCCCTTATAAGAACAACACACTGTGTGCCATGTTGCTTAAATATCTACAGCACAGTCCAGGACTCATAGACACAATAACCACCACAGAGATGTTTTTGGTAAAAAGAAAATCTCCGTTTCAACAAACTCAGTGTTTACTCAAAAAACTAGCCTGCTTTTAGGCTTAAAAAGCTGTCTAAGGCAGTATTTCTTCTTGCTTCCCCTCCTACCCAACTGAAACACCTCTAATGAAACATCACTCCAGGAAAAAAAGCCCCTTTTAAACAGACAAGTACACCCAAAAGGATGTATTAACCATCAACTCAAATCTGCATAAAAACTACATTGAAATCCCACTCCCCTAGACTTCTTCCTGGGAATTCCAGCCATATTAATTATACTGCACTTGGCTTTGCAGCTGAGAATTCTGAATAATAGCAGTGGAGTCTGCTAGGCTGCATCACTATAGCTTACACTTTATTCCCTTGGTAGCATAATTAATTAATATAGCATTTATTCTCAACAAACATGTCAACATTACTATCACATAGTCCTTGATGGCTGGCACTGCCTCCTTTATACCAGTGATGGAGATATTTTATGTTGGTTTTATGTAAATAAAGTCTTGTAATTGTGCCGAGTTCAGATGTGGGACTTCAATAGGAATGACTATACATCAAGACAGGTTTCAGAGTAGCAGCCGTGTTAGTCTGTATCCGCAAAAAGAAGAACAGGAGTACTTGTGGCACCTTAGAGACTAACAA